CACACACACACACACACACACACACACGAGTGAGCCGTTCATACCTGGGAGGGTGAGTGACTCTGAATTACAAAACAAAGGAGAGCTGTGTTCAGGGTAAAGGCGGAGCAGTACCAGGCCCACCTGGGCTGCCTCCGGAGTGGGAGTTTAAGGACAGGGAGAAGTGCTGCAACAGAGAATCACCTTTTCCTCTGCCGACTGGCTTCACTTATTTCAGACAGACACTCAAGCAGTGGACATTTCTTAGGGTAAGCATAGGGCTTCTCCAGGAAGAAATGGACAAATAAGTGCAAGGAAAAGGTGGGGAAGAAAGAATGAGAGGTGATTTCATAGCTTTAAAGGATTTAAAAAACATATCAACCAATGAACTATTCAAAGAAAAAATTAAAGAATAATTCCACTTGCAATAGTGTCAAAAAGAATAAAATATGTGATGAATAGGTGGAGCACAGAGGACTTTTAGGGCAGAGAAACTATTCTAAATGACACTATCACGGTGGACACATGTCATCCTACCTTTGTCCAAACCCACAGAATGTACACCACCAAGAGTGAACCCTAACGTACACTCTGGACTTTGGTGATAATGACGTGTCATTGTAAGTTAATAAATTGTAACAAATGTTCCACTCTGATGAGGGATGTTGATGACAAGGGAGGCCATGCATGAGTGGGAACAGGAGGTACATGGGAAATCTCTGTAACTTCCATTCAATTTTACTGTGAAAACAAAACTTCTCTAAAAATAGTCTATTTTTTTAAAAAAGAACAAAGTACTGCCCCACCAGGTGTGGCTCAGCGGTTGAGCATGGATCTAGGATCCAGGAGATTGCGGTTCAATTCCTTGTCAGGGCACATGCCTGGGTTGCAGGCTCGATCCCCAGTAGGGGGCCTGCCAGGAGGCAGCCGATCAATGACTCTCTCATCATTGATGTTTCAACTATCTCTTTCCCTCTCCCTTCCTCACTCTGAAATCAATAAAGATATATTTTTTAAAAAAAGAACAAAATACCTAGGAATAAACTTAACCAGCAAGGTGAAAAGAGTTGTACATTGAAAGCTACAAAACATTGATAAAAGAAATTAAAGACACAAATAAATGGAAAAAATAGCCCACATTCATGAATTGGAAGACTTAATATTGTTAAAATGTCCACGCTACACAAAGCAATCTACACATTCAATGCAATCTCTATCAATATCCCAATGGTATCATTTGCAGAAACAGAAAAAAATTCTAAAATTCACACACAATTTTAAAGGACCTTGAGCAGCGAAAACAATCTTAAGAAAAATGAAGCTCGGAGGCCTCACACTTTCTGATTTCAAAACGTATTATAAGCCACAATCATCAAAATAGTGTAATACTGGCATAAAGACAGATATATTGACCAATGGGACAGAAGAGAGAGCCCAGAAACAAATCCTCACACGTGATCAAATGATCATTCCCAAAGGCACCAAGGCGACACAATGGGGAAAGGATAATCTCTTCAACAAATGGTGCTGGCAAAACTGGTAAGAATGTAAAAAATGACCCTTACTTTACACCATATACAAAAATTAAGTTTACATGGATTAAAGGCCTAAATGTAGAAACTAAAACTATAAAACTCCTAGAAGACGACATAGGGGAAAGCTTTATGATATTGGAATGGGCAATGATTTCCTGGATATGACAGCAAAAACACAGGCAATAAACTTAAAAACTTCTATGCAGCAAAGGAAAGACTCAACATAGTGAAAGGCAGTCACAAAAAGACAGAAAGTGCATGATTCTGCATGCATGAAGTATCTAAAGTAGTCAAATTCAGAAACAAAGTAGAATAGTGATTACCAGGGGCTGGGAGGAGGGGACAAAGCGGAGGTGTTCAATGGGTATAGGGGTTCAGTTTTGCAGTTTTAGAGATCTGTTGCTCAGCAATGTGCATATAGTTACTACTGTACTATACACTTGAAAATGGTGAAGATGGTAAATTTTGTTATGCGATTTTTACAATAAAACACAACCCAGATCAACCAATTGCAATGTATGGAACTTATTTGTACCTTGACTCAAATAAACTATAAAAAGAAAACATTTTAGACAATAGGGAAAAATTGAAAGCTGACTGGATGGTTAACATAGAAGCATTTTTTTGTGTGTATAATGGTGTGTTTTTTTTAACATGATTCCTTTGTTTAGATAACTTGAAGTATTTATGGATAAAATGATGTCTGGCTTACTGGGGTGATCATTCCCATAAGGCATATAAACATGTTGTATACCTGAAACTAATATAATATTTTATGTCAAGTGTAATTGGAAAAGCATTTAAATAAAAATAAAAATTTAAATATATGTCTGAGATCTGCTTTGAAATAATCGAGTGGGGACAGGAGGTATGGCGGAATCAAGATGGCCAGGAGTTGAGACTTATTGAAGCTGGAAGATAGGTACATGGAGGTTCATGTATGGGGGTTACTGTTTTAAGTTTTATTTTTTCCATAACAATGACTAAAATAAACATAAAACAAGTGCCTCTGAAAGGGTTAGGGCTGTGGGGAATCTACACTTTGCCTTGAACTCATCTATTAAGACTCTCCTATTCACCTGCAGCAGGAGGATCCAGGCCTGTCATGAACCCAGTGTCCTGTTTACTGGAAGCCTCTCTAAGATCTTTGGTGTCTGTACCTGCTCTTCCACTAAGTGACAGAACAAGAAACTCAGCCAATCAATCTTTAGTGAAAAAACTCAGGAGCAGCGACTTAGGCTTAGTTGAGCTGCTCATTGTTTCACTGGCACCTGCGTTGCAGTTTAGGGGTTTTATTTCAGTAAGCATTCCTAGTTTCGGTGACGAGATGTGATACCCAACAGTCTTCGGGGTGCTCCGAGGAGCACAGGCCCCTCCAGGGCACCAGCGGCTGGACTTGCTGACAGCTGGCAAGGGCAGGGGGCTCTGCCTAGGTGGAGCAGGGATCGGAGAGGAGACCACCAGGAAAGAGGCTAATGATGGCACAGACAGAAAAGAGGCAGCAAAACCTTTGCACTTGGAAGTTTTACCCACGATGGACCCTTCTCTAGAGGGAGAAAAACTTTCTTCCGCCCCTGGCACTGCCTGGCTCCGTGCCCCAGCCCTTCCTTCCCCAGCTGCTTCAACACAGATAGTGCCAGTTCTCAGGAGGCTGCAGTTACTCAAACTTAAGCTTAAAACAGCAGGGACATGGGGACCACTCAGATCCCCCACTCTCATCCCAGATCTCCCCTTCCCATTGCTGCAGGAGGGTGAGGGCAGGAGCACCCAACCCAAATACCAAAGGGAAACAGGGAGCCTGGGGTTAACTTGTACTGCCACTGGGATTTATATTCTAATAGCCTCGTGGCTGCAAAAAGCCCTTATGGAAAGTACCTTTGCTAAAACAATGTAATGAAAACAATCGAATAGCCATATCTGTACTAGTGGTTCAAAAAGAAACTACTTTCACAAGAACAAAGTTGTAACACTTTAATAATTTAAATAGAATTAACTTCAGGAACATACACACACATACATAAAATTCAGACAATTTAATTGAACAATGTTAAAAGTCCCCAAAATGGACTCATAGTGATGGATATGAAAAGGTAGTTTTGAAGTACTACAGACCAGAGTAAAACAGACAAGGTAATTACCTTGCATTTACCAATAAGAAAACAGCCTGTGGATACCAGTAGACCTTTATGAGAACACTTCTAGGGAATGTTAGAGCAAAGTCATCAAAAAAGAATACAATCGATTTCAGAAAGATAAATTCATAGGTAACAGTTTCTTTGGTCCTTCGAGTCACACCTGTTTTTACTTTAAATTACCAAACATGAGTTGAGTGCTTCATTCTGCCTCTAAATATCTAAATATTAAGCAGGATAATGTATATATTAGCTTTGATTTTAAAAGGAACTCAAAATCAACCACTATTGTACTTTAGAAACTCCATAGAAAAATATAGGAAATGGAAGTAGGGAATTTTTTTTAAATCTCTGCCATTTTGTCTCATCATAAGCCAAACAAAGTGCATCAGAGTGGCAGAGATCGGACCACTCAAGTTAAAGCAAGCAATGTACTTCATTCTTCTTAAGGTAATGGGATAAATTTGAGGAGCACTAGGTCAGCCAAACAAGACGCTTCTCTGCGGATGGTCTTTGTGTTTTGCAGGAGAGTTGGGCTATTTTGTTGTTTTAATTTGGCCCACGCTGCCCCAGTAGAGGAAACTTTAAGACAATCATTGATAAGGCAACAGCTTCCCAGACTAAAAGACCTGGGCCACTTGAAGAGTTACACTGAAGACAAGACCCTCACAGGCCACAAGGGAAACCAGTATGGGGGCTTCCGGTATCTTCCAGGGATTCCAGAAGATTATGGTGCAATTTTCAGGGACACCAACACTACAGCGGTCATTAGACACTGGACACAGCTCACAGTGCAGTCCACAGTTAGCCCATTCTGCATGCTTTCATGTTCACGGAAGCTATGGTTCTGCGGACCTGAAAGTGATGAACACTCAAGAATTTCTGGAATACTTAGAAAAACTATTAAGATAAAAAAAAGTTTTGAGGCACCTGCAAAAAACACACAAAGTAAGTAAGCTCCCAAGAAATTTCAAAAGGTAGAACTTTGAGGACTGGTTATTTGCAGTGTCAGTACTGAGTCTTATAGAATAATGGCTTTTAAATAAAGGCAAAGGTATCTACACTCCACATGGTGTGATATTCTCATCAAGGCACAGAGAGTTAAATGTCTAAACCCCTGTCTGCTGACATGAGAATACACTCGTAAACAACTCCGGAGACGGATTCCCTACACTTGAATCTTAACAAGAACACAAGGTAGAAATGTGCCTTTTTGAACTCACAGTAAAATAAAAGACATAGGTAATTCACCACCTTGCCTTGGTGACTAACATTACAACTAGACAGTTAGAAAATAAATACATAAAAAATAAAGTGTTACCAGCGGTTTAATAAACATGATTAATGTGGAGCCTGGTGGACTTTGAATTTGCAGAACAGAGCTGCACCCTGTCCAATAGCTTAGTTTAAGCACTACACCATTTTTGTTTGGGGAGTGGAAAAGGCAGCATATTGGCCATAGTTTTCTCCCATTCCCAACACTCCTATGCTTCTGAGCCAAATTACCAGACTATTTGAACAAAACACGTGGGTTCCTCTCCTTACCAGCATCCTGGGGTTACCGGAAGGACAGCGGCAGTGTGCGTATGACTTAGCTCTATTGGCAGTGTGCTTGACTGTTGCCACTAAACGGTGGCAAGAAGAAAGTAGAGTGCCCACCCCCATATTAAAATTATTTTTATTTGACTTGCAATAAATAATTATTAAACACAATTAGTGACAAGGAGCAAGTTTCACGTCTATTACAATTGAGAATGGAATTGTACAAACAGCTGAAGCCAGACAACCAATGCTACTAGAGGCAAGATCTGCAGAGCGCGAGGCTCGCGCTGGAAGTTTAGCTCCTAATGAGAGTGAGAAACTCTTCCCTTGTCTTTGGATCTTCCCGGAACACACCCAACATCGTGCTGGTCACAGTCTTGCTGTTCATTTTCTGTACCCCTCGCATTACCATACACATGTGTCTACAAAACAAGGCAACAGAAGGCAAACAGACAGTTACTGGTTTGGTTTTTAAAATAAAAAGCAGGCCCCAAAAATTAAATCTGATTAAACTGAGTTCACAATGACCAAATTGGTCACTTAGACAAATTTGAACTAAAAAAAAAATTTTTAAAGTGTCTTAGTCTTATAGCTTTTATTCTTCTCAGTGGTCAAGTCCTTAAGGCATCCAACAGGAGAGGGGAAAATGGAATATTCTCCCTGGGTGAAAATAATACAAGTCATCTGTGGAGATACAATAACTTCGAGATAAAAAAACCCCGGAGTTCTCACTTGGTCTTTAAGACCAAGACAGCATTATGCTAGCTGAGGTGTTCAGAGGAACAGCGGAGCAAGCAGGGCTCACCGGCCAGCATCCAGGATGAAGGCCACAGCGAGTTTAAGCGACCTGGTGAAGCCGGCCAGCATGCACAGCACAGAGTTTGTGCCAGGCCAGAATAAACGAGAACTTTGCCCACGAGCTGTGTGCAATTCTCGTAGTGATTCTAACTTAGAGAAGTATCCTCTGGTGCCCTTTGTACCAATTCTTAGTTCTATTTTTAAAATACGGGTCAAAACATTAGAAAACTCTGCTTGGAGCAACAAAGAGCTAAAGAAGAAACCAAGAGAAGACACACAGCACTGCTGCTTGTGTGAATCACTACCCCTAAGTTTATGACTCCCTACTTTTCCACAGCCCACACACACGTCTCCCACGCCCTGGTTCCGTATTGGCAATGCAGTAAATGAAATGAATATCATTTTCATGCACCGCTATGACACTGTTAAAGGCAAATACAGACTTACGTTGCTTCAACCACGACCCCAACGCCAGCAGGTCGCAAGGCTTCTGTGATCGCTACGGCAATTTGTTTCGTGAGGCGCTCTTGAACTGTGGATGCGACAAGGAGCTCAGTTTAAGTATCTGACACGAACAGCTGAAAGTTTTTGCTGTCTCTAGACAGCAAAAATCTTAAAAAGCAGACTTCTGTGAGATTTAAAAGCCAAGACACCAGCTTCTACCAGCTGACTTTGCCTGCTCTCTGGGCCACGGGAGGCCCTCCAGCGCCTCTGCAGGGAAGGGGCTGGAACAGCACCTGCGCTCAGGGGCGCAGTGAGCCCAGCAGGATATTGACAACAAGCACCTCCAGAGGTAAAGCAGAGCAAATGAAAAAACAGCTCGGCAACAGGGCTAACAAAGGGGTCACCGTCTGATTACTGAATCGTACTTAGAGCAATGTTGAAAACCAGTGATTTAACCTCAATAATGCAATTCCTGGGCTGAATACACAACTAATCTTTGAATACATACATTTGCTGCAGCATTACAGCCATTTGAAAGCTGACAAAATCCCCAAATGTCTATCAGAGCAGGGACTGAGTAAACCGAGCCACAGACAGCAGGGCCGTGCAATGGCATGCGGAACAGCAGGCAAAACAAGGGAGGCACTTGCCTGTCTGCGGGGGGATGTTTAAGATGCAAGTGGGGGAAATAGGGAAAAAAGGTAAGTGAAGCCCATTATGTATAATATGAGTCCGTTCTGAAATGTAATAAAAATACATTGATTTTAAAATGTTCGTATGTGCATAAAAATTTGAAGGACTGTGCACAGCAGATATTTTCTGGTTTATCTTCTGTGAGGTTTATAAGTCACATGCATCACACTTACAATGAGAACGACACAAACTGCCTTTTCCTTATGAAAAAAATCTCTCTGTAAAAAAGTTGTTTTAAAATTTACCTTGTAATCTTCTACTGTAGATTTCTACAATCCTAAAAAAGAAAGACTTGTTTTAGTTAATCATAAATTTTGAAAAGTGAAATTGCTAAGGCTTCCTTAAGACTAAAAGGGCTTTATTGGAGCAAGTGTAGCGGGTGGGCAGAGATTCGAGTTTACAGGATAGAAAGATAAAATCTACAGAAAAATGTGAAGAGGAAAGGCCTGAAGGAGACCAGCTCTGATGGGGTGCTGCTTCCCTACGTCCCCAAAGAGACAGAGAATTAAGAGTATAAAGTTCACTTATGGAAAACACAATTAGAGATGGGTAATTTTAAAGCTCCCAAGTCATCAAATATTCTAATTAATCATATTGTTTAATCATAGCTTAAAGTTCAAGTTAAAAATTTTTAAAAAACACTATTTGTTAATTAGTAGCTAGACCACTGCCAACTGTTGTACCAACTAAACCTATTAGGATAATCAGATTAGAACCGAACAGGCTTCTTCAGACACCTCTTTACATAATAGCTCTATATCAGCAATCAACAAGATTGGCCCCCTCCCAAAATAAAAGCTTACAGATCTTAGCTTATAACACAATTGGTCAAGTGGTGATTTTTCTCCTTTCAGCATTTTCACTCTAGTTGTGAAATGTCAAGATAGCCATGTGAATCACCCATTTTGTTTCTTTTTTATTATTATTATTGCTTTTTAGAGAGAGAAAAACATCAATTTGCTGTTCCACTTATTTATGCATTCATTGGTTGCCTCTTGTATGTGCCCTGGGCTGGCATCAAACCCGGAACCTTGGCATATCTGGCTAGGGCTGTGAATCACCCATTTTAGAATAACAATTCACATTAAGGACCTTTTATTTAAAATGTGGCCTTTCAGTCAAGAATTTTAAGGCTCTTCCCCCAGCCCCCCCCCCC